TTAGCCTTGAATTTTCTTGCACATTACCTATCCTAATGTGATCTGTTTGATGTTCTTTAGCGATATTTTTGTGCGCTATTATACCTTGGCTATTTACGTTGTGGTTAACTTAAAGCTGGTTTCGTCAAATATTGAACATCTTTACTTAGAAATAAAAAGGTTAAATGGTCACTAAAAGTCCACAGCAGATGAAAGAAAATCAACAAAACTCATTTTCAAAAGTTACGAAATATAAGTGATCAAATATTTCGTATATGCCGAAAACCTTGTTCTTTAACAAAGTGCTTTGAACAAATTTCTATAAGACCACATAGTTTTTCCAGATATTTTCTGGCGTACGATTTTCATGGTCTACATGGTTCGAAAATGTTCCCAGTTTCTAATGGTGTGATAAACATAAAAAACAACTACTTCTATGAGTCATCTCATATACAACCGAGCACCTCAGAATGCGTTGTATTAAGTTAAGATTTTTTTCCCCATTGTCTTAATTGAGCTGTGAATAAACGGTAACTGATAAACGTAAGTGCCGGTAGGGGCTAGGAGATGAAGCGTAGTTACACATTCTGAATATTAGGGAAGTCATAATGGTTCATTCTCATGCTTTTATAAAATTTTTTTACCTTGTTTTCTGACCTGTCTACTAATTCAGGTGTTTAACTTTCTAACTTACTGCCTTTTCTTATACGGCAGGGTATTATGTGCGATACAGCCATAACGTTGTTGAAATATTTGGAAGAATGGACGCCAGGCTAGATTTTAACCCGAGATTATCCTTTACAGTGGTTCACCGCGTTCACCACTGCACCACTGAGGTTTTTTCATTGCCCTTCTCTCAACCAATTTTCTATAGTAACGATGTCATCAGCTATCAACCGACAATGGAAATGATTTTGGGAGTACAAACCGGGACTGAACTCAGTTAAGCTGAAGCAGTAGCTGAATTCGCAATGTTTCAACTTTTACTTTCTACCTACTCGGCCTCGATTGATATGGTGGACCTCACGTGAGCTTCCCGTAAAGGTAATCGCAGGATGGAAGTGAACTTAAGGCTCCAAGTTTCTAACATGTCCTAGCATTATTGTGTTTTATTATAGAACGTTCTTACAAATCTTTATCTTGGCTAAGATCTTGGAAGCTTTTCGCCTTTATCACAGTCATGCTGATTGGAGTCAATTGTCCACAACAGTTATCTTTTCTTCCGATGAGGACCTTCGCCGTCGTCGAACCGAGGCGAATCGTGTAAAGAAAAGCGCGGCACGGATAGAGCAGGACTCCGTCGCTGCGCTTTTGTACAGAATTCTAACCACGGTAAAATGATCTGACCTAACACGGCAGTACTTAAAAACACAGGATGAATCATGGTCGATTGGAAACCGAAATTATTCATTTCTGTGGTAGCGATCCATCCTGCAGCAGTCTGATCGGTACTAAAGAGCACAGTAATAGTATTAGCTATTGTTTTAGTATCAATTATACGAAGGCTTAATTACCCAAGTTTGTGAACACAAACTACAGCACTTATACAGATCTACACGTGGCAAACAGGTTGAGGAGTAGCAAACTGTTGCATAAATTAGCGAAGACATCAATTTTCGTATAAAAAAACACATACAACACAACAATAGGTAACGTTTCGGCAGGACCACCTTCTTCAGAGTCTGGAAGTGTATACTGATATGCAAATTACTACGCCTAGCTCTTCAATAACACATACCGAAAGATGGAAATCTATATGGTAATCACATGACTTTCACACGTTACGTGTCTGAATGCAAGGTCCTCTGCTCAGTGGAAGAACAATAAGGCCGTGTTATTGTTCAGGAAGGATGACCTACACGATATAGGCAATTCTCGCCCAATCTGCTTGCTGTCTATCGTCTACGAACTTTTCACTCGACTAATCCTAAACAGGATTTACAGAACACTAGACGAAGGACAGCCATGTGAGCAAGCAGGGTTTCGAAAACGGTTTAGTACGATAAACCACATCCACACTATAACAAGACCTAGTGAAGTATCACGAATGTACAAAAGACCGCTCTGTCTCACTTTTATTGATTTAAAAAAGGCCTTTGACTCAATTGAGATAAAAGCACTCATGGAAGCCTTTGATAGTCAAGGAGTCCATACTCAGTATTTAGAAATTATTCGTCAGCTCTACAAAAATTTCACAACCAAGGTATCACGATTCTACAGCGATATTAACGTTGACGTCGAAAGAGGAGTTAGGCAAGGTGATACCATTTCGCCAAAATTATTTACTGCCACCCTCGAGGACGTCATGCGAACTTTGGAAACCTTAGGATGGGTCAACATGGGAGTGAAGATCGATGGTCGGCAATTACACCATCTTACCCTTCATGATGACTTCGCACTTATAACACCAAACATTAGCCAAGCGGAACGAATGCTTGTCGATTTTGATAAAGCCTGTGAAAGGATTGGCCTTCGACTAAATCTCACAAGACGATGCTCATGATTTCGTTTGCCCCATTCACGCTCAATGGAGCGAATATCTCCGAATGCTCCAGTTATGTCTATCCAGGTAGAGAAATCAACATGGTAAACCACTTAGTTCCATAGCTGAGCAGAAGGAAACCAGAAGCTTGGGCAGCCTTCAAGATCATCGAGGATGTAGTGAAGAGAACAAAGAACACCCGACTCCGTGCCCACCTTTTCGACTCGACGGTACTTTTTGCCTTAACGTATGCGTCAAAAACTTGGTCGCTGTGTAAGCAAGATGAAAGATCACTCAGCGTTATCGAACGCGCCGTCGAAAGGATGATGCCAGGAGTATCCCGGTCCGCACAAGTAAGGGATGTGATCCGAAGCTCCGATCTGCGTCAACGATCAAAAATCAAAGATGCCGCTCTGTACGCGAGGCAGTCTAAGATACGTGTGGGCCGGACACATAATGAGTATGGACGGCAACAGATGGAGAAGAGACGTTAGTCACTGGATTCCTCGGGATGTCAAAGGCACTGCAGGAAAACCGCCGACCCGCTGGTGAGAGTTCTTCACGAAAAGACTAGAAAAAAGTATGATGCTCAACTACTCTCTAGAGCGAGCAGAACCCACTGAGCTAGTCTTGCACGAGACAGGAAAAAATGGAAGATTTACTGGGGTCAGCTCTAGTCACTCGACGATCAACGGGGCTACACGTGACAGGTGATACAGGTCTTCCAATGGGGGAGGAAAAAAGACCTGGTTAGAGTCGCATATGAGTGCATCACTCCGCATCAAAAATCGATGCGATGATACAGGGCCAGATCTAGTGTGGTCTCTAGGCATTGCTCTATTCATTCTCGGATTCTTGGTATTTATCCAGAAACCCCCAAGAAGTTTGCGCGTTGGTGTTTTGGCATCCTGTTCGAGGATGGTGACCTTTAATTAAAATCGTCTGATCTATAGTTTTATATCTTATGCGTCCCTATTGGGGTACTTTGTCTTGCTCTTTGTTTGCCATCAAGGTGTTCTTTTGTACGGATACTTGAAAGTCTGCCCGTCTCGATAATATGTTCATCTCAACAAGTATTACAAGAGGTCAGGTATATCGCACCTGAGCTCATGCAGTCTCCGTCCCTGCCGACGGATTGCTGAACAAGAAAACGACGCATTTGTAATCCAATGCCGAGGTTAATAGAAAGTCAGCCCTGGGAACACTTATTTTCTATACATGTTATCTTCAATGCACCGACTTGTTGTTGTCGTTCTTGCTTACGGCATTTCACTTAATATTTATGAGTAGACTAAGGACCAAGTAAGCTCTTTTACACGGCTTGATGCTCTACATTCAAATCCGGTTGATGTCTTCTTTTTTTTTTGCTAATTCTGTCCACTCTCTGCTTTTGTCACTCAACTGTGACTCCGTATTGCTCTTTTTATAGATACTTCCCAAGCACATGTACACATTATAGCTTCATAAATATAACGTTAGGCGAAACATACGGATAACCAAGGAAAAGCAATGGTCACAATTAACTGTAAACCCATAATTATGAAAGCATGGCAATTCGATTCGGAAAAAATAAATCGTACTATAGTAGTAGAAATATCAATGCAATATGTACATAAAAATACTTGAACATATTCCTCTGTTTTGAAAACAAGGAAATAAATGTGAACAATAACTATTGCAAATGAACGCAGGTGCACTGTACAATTGGCGAATGTAGGTGAAAGATATGTTTTCACGAACAAAAAGTGGAGAAGCAGATCTCAGTCGGATTCACTGTTAGAAATGTCACATCCTTCATCGGAAGATTCAGTAATCTCTACGAAGGTACTTTGTCGTCTTCCGCAGAATTCTCGTATACGATAGGCGGCCTCTTTGGTAATATCTTCGGATTGCGTGATAACTAATCGAATCCAACCTGGAGCTGAGAAAGCAGATCCAGGGAGACAGAATACTGACTCTTCCTAAAATTCCGCTTTATTTTCGACAATTTCAAGCAGACTTATCGAAAAGAATAACCTCCTACCTTGATTAGGTTCGATGCAAATTGGATGTCGTCGCCGTACACATTTTTGTCAATGCTGATCATCATATACATGGCTCCGTGCGGTTTCAAGCAGTGAACACCTGCCAATCCTTTGAGTACCTTACTCACAATGGAAGCATTTTTTGAGATTACTAATTTGTTGTGTTCGAAATATTCATCGGGAGTGTCGGCAAGAATTTTTGGCAGAGCACCCTGAACAAGTGAACAGGGACCGACGATTTTCTGCGAAAGGGCGACAAGTCCTTTGCGAACTTCACTCAGCACATGGAATCGATCATGGACGATCAGCCATCCCAACCTCCAACCAGGAACCATCCAACGTTTGGCGATGCCATCACAAGTTATGATCGGCACCTAAAGAAAGAATTTGAGAAAGAAAGAAATTCACATTTACTGCACTATTTCTAATTCATCTGTGCTTTTAGTGCAAAGACAGTCACGTGTACCTTATCAGTGGATAGTTTTAGGTAAAAGGTCAATGCTTCACCTTAGGCGAAAGCGTGGCCAGAGGATAAAAAACAGCACCATCGTAGGTTAGATCACCGTATATTTCATCAGCGATCACTACGAGACGATATCGACTCGCAAACTAAAATACAATTCTCAAATTAACTCTATTTTTATCTACTTCTCGTCTTCTTCATATTTGCTATAAATTAAGCAAACACACTTCCAGGATTTCTTCCAGGTGTTGTCTGGGAAACACGACACCGGTAGGATTCCCAGGATTGTTCACAATGAGAGCTCGAGTTCTCTCATCTATTAACGTCTCAAGATGTTCCAGATTAATCAATCCTCCATTCTTCATATCAAGCATATAGCCTCGGTCCTAGAAAATAAAAGCTTAGGTTACACACAACACTTAAAAACGTGTTAGCAACATTTAAATTCGCAACCTCTATTCCATGGGGTTTGCATAAGGTAGAATAAAGTGGGAATCCTGGTTGTGGAATCAGAATGTTGTCTCCAGGATTGGCAATGCCTTCAATAGCCATTTGCAATGCATGAGAGCATCCACTTGCCAGAATTACATCTTCAGCTGTAATAGGAGAGGCTGGATGAGTAAACCTTCGAGCAACGGCTTCTCGGGCAGCCAATTCTCCAACAGCAGGACCATAACCATCATGTCTAAACAAGGTCGTTTTCAATCAGCGAAGTATGGCAAATTCCCATTAGCAATGTTATGATGCCTTCTCTTTGTAACTGCCTCCATGCGCAACATATACATACCTGTGAGAGTTGATAGATTCATGTAATGCTTCGACAGCTACAGTGCTAGGAGGAAGTCTCCTACTTAAACTGGGGTCTCCCAGATGTAGCTTAATTACGGGTTTTTCCGGATTTGGAGCAACTGAAACAGCATCGGCGATTCTTCTTATAGGATTCACAGTGTTTGCTGCGTGATCAGACTGTGGTAATGGAGTCCACTCCATTTTGTTACGTCGAGACCTTCTCTGAAAAAGAGCCACTATAGAAGATATCACTATAGAAGTAACAACGCTGAGGAAGAAAAATACAGTCATAAATCGCAAAGGTAAAAGAATACATGTTGATTAGTCAAATCGATGTTAAGTGAAAGCCGGTTTTTTGAAATACAGTTGTGCCACGTGGTAGGTGACAATGATACCAACTGCTGCAAGACGGATTGGCCGGAGAAAACAATTTATTGTTATCGGATAAACACTATCAACAACAACCGTCATATATAAGAGCATTGCCGGATGAGATTGCCTCATACGAGCGGTGCTCCACTGAAGAACGACTCGATGTGACGACGAAGACACTACACCGATAGTACGAACGAATGTAGACGATCGACTCGAATCATTAGCTCTGGGGAAGACGAAGACTCCGAGACGTTAGCCGAACAAATTCTTTTTTTCTCAACCTCGTGTTAGCTTGTCAATAAAAGAGTAGGTATTAATCGGAACTCAGTAGCAAAAAATACCTGATTTCGCAGCGTTTGTTCGTGAAGACGGAGTTGCGATATAATTTTGGCTTTTGTTAACTGAATGGGCGTTCCTTGAACTGTGTCGATTGCCTCGGGATACATAATTGCCCTGAAGTAAGCTAATATTAACCTCAAAATTGCGTAGCAACGCAGCAACACATGGAAAAGCACGAATAGTTCTGAGACTTCGGATACTACAGTAGAAGAGCAGCCGGTCCACCATCCACGATGTGACGGACGACGACCGACCTAATAAGGGAGCACAAGGCAACGCTTTGGCGAGCGATGTTGCGCGTTGCCCTTTATAGCCCCGACTTTGGCCCCGCCCATGGTCTCACGTTTCGACGCCAGAAGGACCACGCGATAATAGTGATGAAATTCTTACGTCATCGTAGACACGACACGTTTACGCCAATTCTATTTGTAACCGCGGTATCGCATTTGCGCTTGCTGACATGCTGTTTGTCATACGGCCTTTGTCATGTTCTCGAAGGGTGAATCACTTCAAGACTATTGCACCGGAAATGTATTGAATTTACATCCATAAGGTTAGAATTTTTATTAATGAAATTGTTAACTGATGGTTATAGTGGAAATAGTATAATTTTAGATACAATTCCCGATAGTTTTTGAGTTTTTCAGAAAGAAATACGTTGAGCAAGAACAAAATGCGGGAGATGACCATTAAAATTGCAGAATCTCGAGTCTAAGGAGGAAAAAAGGGATGCGCTCTCTGATCGATTACCCGCATGAGTTTACTAAGTTCACTATGACAACAATGTTGATTAACATTGTAGAACGACAATAACAATAACAAAAGCAACAAAAATAATAATACCAACAACAACAACAACAACAACAACAACAACAACAAAAACAACAACAACGAATCCATAGCTAGAAGTGCTTTTCTATAATATAGTTTTACTTGCACAAGAAGTCGTAGCCATACACTCAGCGATATTGGCCATGCATTATAGAAGTCGGTAGTTGGTCTTCAATCTTATCATATTATGATATCATAAAGCGGCGTTCATCAACAGATCGCTCATTCCATCAACCAACAACATTGGACATTCTATCGTACTTGTGTTAATGTGTGAATGTACAAGCTGATTTATTCATGGAAATGGGCGTGGACCTGTAGCAGCAAGTTTCCGATAAGGCACTTGTGCAAGTGGAGCCGGTATAATCCTTGATCAAAGCGCGAATCGTTAAAACTGATAGATCATCGGTCTTATCAGTGCTGCTATCTTTTGTCAACGCATACTCGGTGTATATGGGCTAACGCTTTGATTACAAAACTGTTCTAGCTGTCTTTTGCATGCAATACGTTTTCAACGGTCTCTTCTGCATGTATGCTATGAGTGTGTGAACACACGTGATCGTGCAAGGCTGTTGACGAATGGAGATGGAAGAAGCGCCGTCACTGCTCGAACGGCCTTAGCACGTGGTGCTCGTCTAGCGTTGTCTCTTACTGCTGTCAACGAAATCGTAGCGACTGTGAGAGCGCGATAGAGCGCGGGAGTGACGGAGGAACAGGGCGGATGATGACGACGGACGCCAGAGTCGAGTGATCTTGAACTGGAGCGGGTGACGAGGGTAACGACGACAGGGCAACGTGTCGACGAAAACACGGCCGTCAGAAAAGAGGCCGTCGGTCTTGCGACGAAAACGCGGCCGTCAGAAAAGAGGCCGTCGGTCTCGCAACGAAAACACGCCGACCGACGCAAGGCACCCAATGTCCATGAAATCAACGCGTAGTGCGAGCGACGATCACGACAGTCGATTGTGTCAACAAGTAGCACCGCAAAAAAAAGGCGGGCGTGTTCATCCACATCACTGATGACCTTCTGCAATTCAACGACAGAAGTTTCATATTCGCCTACATGATCACGACAGTCTAAATATTTGGCGAATTTCCATAGAAAACTGCATTTTCAGTTAGAAAGCAGAACCCTTAGAACAGGGTGTTTGAATGCTGTTACTATAATAGTGCAAAGTGGGTGATAAATGGAGTGTCAGAGCATGAGGTGCTAGATCCAGTGCATGTAGGCTAGGTCCCAAGTAAACCTACTGTCCTTTACTATGCATATGGTGCAAAGCATATTAAAGAATAAAAAGGGTTAATCCTCACGGCATTGACCATTTTCAGAGCGATGCCCCTCGTATCCGACTTCATTGAGCATTGTTACAGGTGGCCGAACATGTATCTGGTTGAAATTCCGTATCTACGCAGCCTAACACATAGTTAACACTCGAGAAACACAGTGTTTAGAGGTGCGATGCATTTATACACGTGGGACTACCGACCGGAACCATCAAGGAAGGCAGCCGTCGCTCCAGGGGTCGCAAAATGGTGCCAGGCTTCATTAGGAAAAGCTCCCTCTGATCCACAAAGTAGAGCGAATGCCTCTGTGATGAAGATCTTGGAAAAGTTTAGTAAAGATTTCAAAGAATTCCAGTGAGAAACAAATTGGCTAGTGTTCAATGACAGACATGAAAAAAGACAAATTTTTCCAGTGGACTAAATCATACAAAAATATTTCTAAAAAGCTCACTAAGATGGTGGTACAATCTTCGTGACATGTCATGCGAACCCATCTTCCATTCATTCCGTTATCTTGCCATGGTCATTGACTAAGGTTTTTTCCAGAACAGGTATCTGATCTGGGATGCAAATGGAGCCTCTGTTATCCTCTTTCACTGAGACGGTGAATGATGTTGGAGAGTTATTATTTCTGGAAATGTGAAATATCCAAGCTGTGTTCTTGGGTCGTCATTGGGGGCAATTACTGACCTCTACTTACGAGGAGGAAATTTGCAGGCCTGTGAATGAAATTCTTTCAGTAGAACAGGGATTCCTTTTAACTCAGCGACTCCATCAAATAGCAGATCGGATTTGACAAGCTAAATCCACTATTTTGCTTGATACGGCTAAAAGCTTTGTTAAGCGGCAAAAATACTACTCAAACAAGGGGGTCGTATGTATTGGTATCAGTGCATATATTTTCCAACCGTTCACCTTGCAAAGACGTTCGCTGAGTTTTGTCAAGTCTGTAGTCGTCACCACACACGACTAAGCGTAATCGTTCACGTGTTTTAAAGAGAATTGGTTTACATGTTTAAATACTTTTGAAAATCACAAACTGGAAAGTTGTGAACACCGGTAGGAAATTTCTTTACTCAGAATTTCGCCTTATATCTGTTTAGGTCTTTGAAGAACCTCGTCTCGAAAGGAGTAGATATCTTAGAAACTGCTACTATAATGAGGAAAACTTCACCTTTAGCTCTAGAGTGATGGTCAAAACGTCGTTCCCCACATGGCTGATCTCATCTTCAAATATTCCAAAACACTTAAAACATTTCCACATTACTTGTCGTTAGTCGGCCAGTAAGTCATCATTTTTGGTTGGCCTTCTATTTGTTCTTCATGGGAAAAGTTCGGTACGTCATTCTAACATTGCCATTCGGCTTCATGGCATGACTCATCAATGTTTCGCGTTACATACAAATTCGTTTCTTTCCTTAAATGTACTACGACAAATTGATATTAAGTAAAATCAGCGCCACGATGGTCTAGTTCGTCATTCGATGTGCAGGCTAGTTGACAAGAGCAGAATCAGCAGTGCTTCTGATGTTGCTCAATTTTTAAACTACTCGATGTTTAGGAAGCATAGAACCACATTCAAGTGTCCCAATATCACTTATCACAACATCATTTATTATGAATTGAATCCTTCAATAAATCATTAAAAACTTTGCAATTTATACGGGTTTTTTAAACAATTTCGGAGCTACAAATATGATGGGTGAACAATCCGCCCTCCATACAGGTAACCGCATCTTCCTATGAAGTCTCAAGATCCACTTTGTTGAGTCACTTCTCACTTTGCGTAAACCAGCCGGTCGGCTGTAATCTTACACGTCGGTCTCCTCAGTTTTTACTTCAATGACTTTAATAACAATTAAAGTGGGTTGAGCATAGGTGCTTAGCATCAATTCATGCAAATTGTGGAAAGTGTCCTTCATTTATTTCTTCTGCTGGCATGAGACCCCTTAGATCACTTTTGGAACCGACCGTGTACAACATGCATGTATGAGATGAAAAGACAAGGTGAGGAAGCGGATCATTGGCTAACTCACATGTACTATGGTTGTTCTGGACTTATACCCTATTAGTATGTATTAGAGCACTAGTATTTGTTTTGTCTTGGAGAACATCTATGTTAAATGGATAGCTAAGGAGTCAATAAAATGCAGGAAAGCTATATCGGCAGAAATATCTTTGGTTGATAACAACTGTGAAGCAAGTGCATACAGTGATCCCAACTTTGCAGCACGTAAACATTCACTCCTTGACGTAAAACGTCCCTGTCGAAGCAATTACGCCTTACCACGTTCGACACATTATGGCCTCTTTGAAAGTCATAGATAAGGAAACGATATGTTGGGAATGACCTCTGTGGATGGCATGTTCTTCTTGATGATTTATTTTGGCACACAGAACTCTTTTGCCACATTTTTTGCAATTAATCGATAGTTTGCCCATTATGGATCTCTACACAGATGTCGCAGGGAAGAAGGAGACCTTCTCCCGAACGAGTTTATTTGCCGTCGATTTGATTGAAATTTACTGCTTTTTTCAGTTTTAACACTAATAAATCATACTTTATAGTCTTAAGTGTGGAATATAAAAAATACGGAAATAGACACACCTTAAATTGGTAAACACTCGCCAATCATGACAGCAACGTTTCTATGACAGACCGTACTAGCACGTAGAAAATAGTTGCATATATATCATGCATACCTCTAGAGCTCATGTAGCAAGATCTCTTCTACAATTCCGTCATGTTCACAGTCACAGAAATCCTTTAATTATTGGAAAACTATGGTTTCTTGTCGGAAGACCAACATGTCCGTAAAAGCTGAAAAGTAGAAGTCGCCCCATGCAGCACAAAAGCAAAAGTAGGTGCCACGAATCTGTTGACGTCTTTTTTAGACTGAAATCGATTAAATAGGAAGTTAGGGTAGTTCATCCATGCCATTCCCCATTTTCCTGTATTGAAATAGTGACGCTTCCGACAGACCTCTTTAATGTTTTGACTTCGTTTGCTGTTTCGTTTAATGTGTATGCAGCGCTCTTCTTTGAATTCACATTAGATCTGCAGATCTATCTCAACTCTCTTCTTTAAACGTAAAATTCCGTTTTCCCAATATCCATTACGTTGTCGTAAAGAGTGTTACCCAGAAAAAGTCGGTGTTTGGTTAATAATGTCTAAAATGAAATCTTCAACGAGATATCCATCCTTGTGCTAAGTTTGATTTTTGCAAGTGTCAGTATGTGCAAAATGAATTTGAAGCAATTAGGTATTCAGAGTCAGCAAATGGCAAAACACAAGCACAATATTTATTTTTCACTCACTGTTTCACTTTTGTGACATACAGAGAAAGTCAGTAAAAGTCATATTTGTTCCAATGTAACAAATAAAAGTTTTACTGAGCACTAGGACGCAGACCGCTCGCTGAGACGTAACTGAAATGGCATCTAGCGTTCTTCTGCATTGATCGCTGATCTGTCAAGTATAAAGACAGTGGCCAAGGAGTATTATCACTTCCAATGTTCATTCTTAAGCGTTTTTTTTCAAAACAGTCTCTCTCTCTCTCTCATCTATTCACTTTTAGTAGCGCTTAAAGTAGTATGCATTCGTGTAAAGTTCAGGCGACGTAGTAACATGACAAAGTACACTTTTTTACGCTGTGAGCAGTATTCTATAAGCATCACAGCTTGTGTCCAGCTTTTTTCTTGCTTTCTGACTTCATTCTTCTGTGACAAAGTCCTTGCCCAAGGAAAATTTATTCATACATACGGTCAAGAGGCACTCCTTCAGTCATAGCTGGAGTTCCATTGATCTCTAAAGCTCGCAGTGCACAAACTCAGAAAAAATTCAGTGGCTTAAAAGCAAAAGATTTTCGCGTTCTTTTCGTGGTTCCATGTTTAAGTTTTCTTTCCCGGCCTCTAGAATATCGCCACTGTTATTTATAACTAATTGTAGATCGCCGACTCTCAAATGGTTGTTTCTTGCCGTGTTTCAGAAGCACTGAATAGGTCTTGTACAATAATTTTACCTTTATACTTTCAAATTTACAGTGTAGTGTTAGTAACGACCGCTGGGACCATCGAATTCAGGGCTTTGAAGCAATAAGGTCAGATTAGTCGTACATAAGCTTTGGGCCGAACACTTCAACGCACAGAAACTCAAAATGGTCTTAAATGGTACTAAGGTGGGGTGTTCATTAAAATGGATTGTACTTTAATCAATGTGACTTTTTGAAGAACTAAACTGTTTTTTTTTGCTTGTGAAAGTTGAGCTTTGTTTTCTGTAATGAGGCAGATGTCGTCAAAATTTGATGATTGCATGCAATAGAAGATTTAGCTGATTCCGGAGCCAGCTAGACTCTCCATACTTCCGCTGTTGGTTAATTGGCAAACTCGCTCATCCACGAAGCAAATGTGAAAATAAGCTTAGCTCATCATTTATCAGCTTGCAACCTGACAAAAGTAACTCGGTCCGTCACGTGCAGATTTACTGAGTCGGCGACTCGCATCTGTAAATGAGATTCAGGTCAACGACGCTAGAAATGTCATCGTTTTGGCTCAATTCTCCCACCGTGTGTTAATGCTACTTCTGTATGCTGTCGGCACCGTAGCCCTGCAACCGACACTGCTTGCTCAGGCGAAATAATGTAACGGAATCTTCAACGTCGTGGATTAAATTCCGATACAAAGGAATCATTAAAATAAATTCCCGTTGTGAAAGCTTGGTAAAAAAAATAGAATGCAATCAATCTTATTGTGCAATTCAGCATTTCATTGAAAGAACAGTGCTTAAATGGAAATCATTATCAAACGAAGAAATGAGCATGATCTATTGCAACAATAATGGGCTGTCACTGTTTCCATTAGCATAATAAAGTAATGATATTTATCTAAAATCTCCATATAATGTCGACTATGCGCTAATGATTAGTTCTAATGGGACGTCTCGCATCTTCTCTGAATAAATCCATGAAATAAGGACTAGCAAAAAAGGAATAATAAAACCATTCGGTGATTATGACACAGAATAACATCATTTATAGGATCAAAACTGCGGAGAGTTTCGTCCGTTGACCAAACCCATTAATGAGGTGAGAGGAGGTGCGAACAGATCAAGGTTCCTGATCCATTCTGAGAAGTTGCCGTTCCTCAAAAGCCCAGGAATTCGCAGAGAGTTCAAGCCAAGCGTGTTGACGACTGCAACGTCGCTGCGAATGGATTCACTGAACCAAATGGAGCAAAACCTAAACGACGTTCACAACACACATCTAAAAATCTGAACACGTTTAAGGTTTGATCGATCACTATTAGACGAATCTGTAGTTAACTGAAATATGTTATAGCTGTCCTATGCCAGTAACGATATTCATAAGAAAACGTAAGAACCTTATCTAAAGATTTATAGTCACGGGAAAACAAGTACATGAAATCACTACTATTTTACTATTATTACTACTATTTTAGTACTTTATAAATCAAACATTTAAGCAGTCTTTTATTTGACACTATTTTATAAACGTGTTCTCTAGGTTGACTTCAATATGACAATCGTTCAACACAATGTACCTGTTTGCGCATTGAGAAAGTTTGCTGCCGGGCTAGCACTAACTGCAGGATAACCAGTTGGATAAACTGCTGAGGAAAGGGATTGATTGCTTCCGTAAGGCAAGGAACGCGGAGATGTGTGAGCCCGACTGGAGTATTCTGGAAAGTTCTTTTCTGTTTTCGCCTCCATGTTATGGTATATCATACTTTTTGTACTAAGTCTATATATTTTTGCTCCAAGGATTTTGGTAGATTTTAATCCATCAGAGATTTTCTTAACAAGTAATCGTTATAACCACAATAGCACCGAGATATTTGCAAAACTGGATTCGAACTTCCGATCACGCTTTTCGAGGGCTTACTTGTTATCCACTGCACCACTGAGACCTTTGATTTGCCTTTCTCTCAACCAGTTTTCTACATAACGGTGCCATTAGCAATAACCAGTCAAAAGGATTGATCTGGAGAGCACAAATCGGGCCCGAACTCGGCAAAGCTGTGGTTGCAGTCGAAATTATTTTTATTTACTGCTCATAATTTTTTATAGCAGAGAATTATATGAAGTACGACCGCAATAACGCTGCGATATTTGCAAAACTTGGACCTCAGTCCAGCAATCTTCATGTTCGAAGAGAAGCCCAAGTCTTTCCATAGCATTGTACTTTTGCTGTCGATCGGGAACTTTAGTTGATCTGACAAATGGAAGTGAGTGATTGATAACAAACTCAATTACAAAAGGATTTTTGAATCCTGTACGATATTTTGGCACGTCGTGTCATTGAAATTAGGAAAACGTCATGATCTGAAGAAATTTTTACTGCTTCCAGTAGTTGAGCATGAATTGCGTCTTGGCATATGCACTTATTAGTTATAGTTAAAAGTGAAGTGAGACATTTAATGACTTAGTAATATTAAAAGGTTACTGCTTCAAGTGTTTACATTTCGTTAACGTGGTTGATAAAGCTTACAAAAGCTCTTCGAAATAACTTGAGAATACAGGAAGCCAGGTTCTGTCTAATTCGTTCACATGCCTCACCAGATTGTGATGGGCACAAGATTTTAAGGTTCCCACAAAAGCAGATTGAATTGATATGACTTCCATTTACGACATTTTAATAATACAGTAAAAAAAATTAACATATAGTGTTCCACCTGAAGATGAGTCGAAACCTGCTGAATACACAGACGCATAGTTACTTAATTGCTCGGCTTGGGTTCTGAATAGCAGTACTCGTTTATTACATGGACTAATGATCCTTTAACATCACTTGGTTACACCTGCTATAAAGCGCTTCAGCGAGTTCAGCTGCTCTTTTCAAAATTACTTCTTTTGGCAGCCTCTCTGGATCTCCGGGATATTTCGGAAGAAGCTTCTGCAGTCGCTGAAACCCAAAGTCGATGCTGGGTTCCGTGAGCGCTAAATTACAAATTCAGTTAAAATTAGGAATCTTTAATCTTTTTGGAACAAGCTTTGGAGAACATTGTTCCTTCGATGTAGGTCGACAAAATCCTTAGGCAATAGACAGCCCGAAAAGGGTTGCATTTATTTGGTCATTTAGGTAATATTGATGATACCGAAGCAAGGTAATGTGTGTACTCACATGCGTATGTAAACCGCACTGGCGCTCCTCTGTTGTATTGCTTGTTTTTGTACTGCAGAGTAACTTCAACCACGCCAGCATTGTGACGTGGTGGGCTTGTCACTCTCATGGCGTGTGGCGAAATTACTTGTACCAACTAAACCATAAGACAGCGGTTCATTACCAAGGAAGCTAGAAAATAATCATGGAAATGAGTCCATTACCTCACTCCAAACGGTGGTCGAGCCAAAAGCAATTTGTAAACCTTCAAAAAAATTTTCACCTATAACTATCACCTGAAAAAGATCTAGTTTCGGACACCTGTAATGCACATTTGCTCCAATGCATTTTTCCGGCTACTGAGCTCACCTGTGTCCCACCCTGAATCCATCCTTCGCTAGGACATAACGCTTTGATCACTGGCGCTGATCCTACCGATATTTCTGACACTTCCGAAAATTCTGAATACGAAAACCAAGAGTAATCTATCTTGCTCTTTCTGTTACACAATAGAAAAAACGTGTTTAAGCCTTCATCATCTTTATCAGTAAGCTTTATATTGCACGGCTTTTTTTACATATTCGCGACCACGATGATCAACTTTCATAATCATTGTTCATCTATAAAATGAGAGCTTCATAGATTCGGTACAATCTTGATGCAAACTTAACTAAATAAGCAAGTGCGGCTTAACCTAATTAATGCATGTCGCCAATATATTGTTAATGGGCTCAAATATCCTATGTTTAGCAATAAATCCCTAAGTACCACACGAATGGGAAAACAACGCAAAGCCAGATTATTACGAAACAAAAAGAATTTAGTCCTATTCACTGGCGTGAGATGGATTTGTCTTTACTTTGTTTGCTTATAGTTTCTTGCACCAGTTTATAATTACATGGTCAGCGAACAATTTATATATGACGTGTTAGCATTCAATATGTATGATATTACTACTAATGGGTCCGGCCGTGACTTCTACATCGTCTTGGTCTCGCTCTTGCGATTGACGGCACGAATCGCTGTCGTCGTGGACGAATGCCAGTCACAAGTCAGCAGATCTCCCTCCGAATACACAAGAGCCGACGATTTTCAATGTGTAGTACACGTAGTTGTAACATGTGCAGCAAAGGATTTGACAAGCAATTCAAAATGCTTATGTTCACCAATCGTCGGATTTAAAATTTTTAAAACTTCCAAACATATTTTCCCCAACAGTAAAGTTAATGAAAATAATTCAGTGCCAGTGGAGAATGAATGAAATGCCAAATTAAATACTACTTTCATGAGCCTTGTTATCTTAGTTAGACAATTATTTAATAGCATATGAAACGTTGTAAGCCTATCAATGTCGTCATTAGACGTAATGAAGCAACTGCTAATTAATGGAGCAGAATCGCAGATTACTACGATGAAGTCGCTTATGCCCTCTTTTACTACAGTATACTTGGAGCTCTTGAAAATCAAAAGTGCGTAGGGATTTTTGGGGAGATAAAGCCGAATTAAATTATCAAGCAATTTCAGATTTTTTCATCTCTTAAGTCAGTAACCTTTCAGATTATTCACGAGCAAACAGGTCTTGGGAAAGGTGTGATAATGGAAATGGAGCGGAAATTCTATTGCATTCAACGTTCGGCAGCTTCGGGCAAAAAGCGTCTATGTATAGCAAGATACGTCGTTGTTTTGCTCGGATACTTAGAAAATAATTATTTGAACTATATACAAACGGATGAAAATGGTAATTCCTATTTAATAAAAAAACGTAGGAAATATGTTAAACACCTACCATCAGACGCATCCACTCTCTTCACTCGTCTTCCATGTTTTGAATTATTGTGAACAAACATGTTCTCAGAAACTGCTAGCAATGGACCATCAATTCTTGCCGTTGTGCTGAGAACAACCTAAAATTTCGTTGTTTCCCTGAGCCCCATTTAGAATTCCAACAGCATAGTCCAACTAAGTCTATGATGTTAGAACGTCTATTGATGATCGTTTCGCCCGATTAACTACGAGAAACGGATGTGGAACCGTAATGACAAAAGACCCGATGACAACTGAGAAGAGCCACCTGCTAACTGTGTCATACGGTCATAGATGTGATAGATTGACTTCAACGCACACAGTTGATGGACAACAGAAGATTTTTTGAGCATTTACCGCTCATGAGCGGAGTAAACTAAGCTTTCATATAGCGTTTTCACTGATCTTAGTACAAAAAGCATGAAGTTCTTGACCACCAACTGTTATTTCTATTTAATAAAATGGACACGCTTCTGACTTGCAATTGAATCACCTGGAATCGTCGCATATCGCGTGGATTTCCGGCGTTTTTTAAACAATTTTGATTGCATTTCAGGAAGAATTTTAAGAAGTACCTGAAAAGATCATTTCTAGTTGACGATTTTCTATTTGTTGAAAAGTGATGCAAACTATGACCATGCAAAAACTTGGTTAGCGGGTCGAGATGGTGTAATTTCTCGGGTAGTGCAGCTTAAAAGGTTGCATGAGCACCAACCCTCCATTACGTCATTATTTCTCATCTCCGAACCTAATTCGATAACATCGCGGACGTAATTGTTTGTTGCTTCGCTACGAAATAGTCTTCCATGATGAAAATATCGCAAGAAAAAAAAGCCGTTCTACATTCCTAGCAAACGCTACGAAATTTATCCCTCGACCCACCTCTGCAAGCACATAGCGTTTTCTTTCATGTGGTTGAAACTGCTGACCGTAATAGATGCCTTTCCCTCTTCCGGTTTCATTGAAAACTTATCAACTGAGCGTAGTGGCGAAAGTAACGCAAAGAGTAGGCGTTAAATTCACAAATAGACTTTACGCTATAGAAACGTAGATAGTTTTGATTCAATGCACCCAAAATAATGACACTGCTGAAGGTATAGTGACATTGCAACCATATATCCAGCTTTTCAGGTTATCTGATATTACATCGAGGATCGTTGTTTATACCTAATACACCGTTCAAATACATTGTACCCTTAGAAGCGAGGCTATAAACCAATCAAGAATCTTTTTAGTCATCTTCAGCTCTCAACTATCTACAACAGGAGTCAGATTACATCAAAGCTGCTCATTACGAGATTCTATGACAAACAATTTATCTTAGACCAAAATGACTTTAAGTGGTGAATTGCGGAAAGGGAATCGACGGAATGAGATATGTGTTTATGGGAGTTTTATAGCCAGTCAAGCAGCGTTCGTTGCAGAACGTGGTGCTGGTACCGAAATGAACATCTGTTAGTCGGACAATTGCTAATTGAACTGTGCTCATTGTTGACACCACTTCTCTTTTTTCGATCAATTTACATCACTCTCACGTGTTACATTTCGTTGAGAAAAAAAGCAGAAATTGAACAGAACTGACAAGAAACGGAAACTGACTTGTCGATGATGATGGGATCGCTGGGTGTTTCGTTTCTATTTCCACAACTCTTTTTCTCACAGCATCTACTATAAAAAAAGATGGTTGAATAGCTCCTGATGATTTCCATCAAAATGATCCTACCTGCACATTACTTCATGGGTTAAGAGCACTCGGCACATTTCCGGGTTTTTATCTTGACCCTCATAAGTAATTGCCTAAATTAGTTTTGTAAGAGCCATTCTGAGTAAACGAAATTGTTTACTATAAATGAGAACGAAATTCCACTTTTTCATTTTTGAGCATTTTCGCATTAAATGGTCACAAGCTAACATGGCTAACCACTATCAGAACTCTCAATAGGAATATTCCAGTGACACGACTTTTACCATAGAATTATTTCATCGCTATAAAGAATGTGACACCGATCAGCAGTTGCCACAGGCTATGAGTGAAAAGACTTCAATCTTAAAACTTGCACAGCTTTTTTGCATTCGTTCTCAAATTTAGGTTGTTTGACGAATTCCACGCTTGAGATAAAAATGATGTATATGCTCGCTAGACGCTGCATTGATCTTGGCCCATCCACCACACTACCGTATTCCCGAAGAGCGATAGGCTAAATGCTTCTAGTATAGATTCAACATATCATCTGCACTTGACACTCAATGGCCTTCCTCCGCGAATTTCATGCGGAAAACAACATATTTTGATTGCGCAGTTCGACTTTCGCTCCTAAATGACCAATGACCGCAGTCTTAGAGGTTAACATTGTTTCCTTTGAGGACGTAGAGAAAATTCCATCCAACCTTCCGGTGAAAATATTCGGAAACTGATTCTGAACCGAGGTTTAAAATATGAATACTAAACTTGTTGTCACTTAGGAAGGAAATCCTGTAGTCAACTAATTCACTACTGCTGATGGGTTTGCTTAATTATGTGCTCAATGATTTCAAACCACTGTACAGCTTGCAGGTTAAGTTGGGCACGTCCACAATTACTTCACTCCCATTCTCCCACTTTTTAACTCATCAGGCTCTATATGAAGCCTTCCTTATAGGTTTTAAGAATTTTGGTGTTAAATTGTACCTAGTGCCATGATCCCACAGTTTAACGTTTATAAGGTATTTTGGCAAGATAAAAACAGAAATCAGACTTTTTCTAGGTTTCTTATTAGCAAACAACACATTATCACTAAACGTTTGTGTAAGAAAGAACGGTAACCAAGAAAATTTTAACCCTGATTATTTGTCGAAATGCACTTCCTGTAGCCTGCTGCAAGCCAAATGAACTCAAATAGTGGAATACTGAGCAGTTGCCGTATGAGTGAGATAAGGAGATCCAAGAACGGGTTATTGTTGGAAACTGGGCCTAGCCATCTGTTGCCACCCTGACCAGCAGGCCTGGCTGGCTGTAAAACCTCGTAGAGCCCGTTGGGCGCATGCTAAATAATCAACTCAGGAACCGTATGTGTATTTCAGTTGCGCTCAACCAATGTTCTTGTTCATTAAAAACTCGCAGCAGAACTGAGGCATATGAGATATTTTTGAAGACTACATGTGCGAATTCTAGAACGGGTAAACGCTTGTGCCTGGAAAGCTTTAGAAAGTTTATAATAATGCGGAAAAAGATAGCACCACTAGCCTGTTTGGAAACACTGTCGATTAGCCTTACAAATAAATCCTGCTCTGCACGTAACCCTGAAACAATTTCGTGCTCAATAAATGGAAAAACAATAACAATCTGCATTGTTCGCTTTTGTTAATAAAGGACATCCCTTACTACTACAATGTCGTTCCTCTCAGTATTGATCAACGAGTGATTTTATTCCATAAAACATCAAGAGTAAATCTCACACCTAATAATATTCACAAATAATTAAACTCAACAGTTAAGGTAAATCTATAAGTAACTACCGTACTTGTACATTGGTAAAATAATGTATTTGAAAAAATGATCGTCACACTGGTAAAAATTTCGATTATTTTGACTACTTCCTTTACCAACTTTCAACTGACATTGAAATTGAGCCTTATCTACCAGTATTTTGACGAGCAAGTTCAAGATTTTTAGAGTCTCTAAAGACTGAAAGATTCATTCATTATTTCACTTGTGATTAAGCGATAATACGCCAACATTTTGGGCGCTCATAAAGTCTACATAGATTTGTTTACGAAAGAGTTTTCAAATATCAAAATATCATATAAAAATACATATCAAAAGAGCTTTCCTAGAAGAATGGAAAGTTACGTCTTTGAAAATCAACATAGAATAACCAAGAAACTGGTTTTCCACTCACTATAATGCTTTTGTATCTATATCAAGTTGGAGCAGAGCTGTTTGATTCGAGGTAAATCTTAAATCTTCGACAAACCACTCATTAAAGCCTTGCAAAAATTAATGGAAGAGGAGAGAAAATGGGAAGAAGGAAACAGAAAGAAGAGAGAAAATGTGAAGTTGTAAATCTAAGGAATAAAAAAAGAAACGAAGCTCACCGTTTTGGAAAAGTACATAGAGCTTGTAGTGAATTCCATTTTTCGTATCCTGCCCATCGATTTCTCTATCCTTCTCAACGAATCCAGCAAACTGTGTTCGTTCTATCTCAATTGGCTGACTTGCTCGATCATAGAGAGCCACAACGAAATGAAAGAAATTAGACTTCCGAAGATTGTTAGGAGGATGCTTCTCGAAATGAGCTCGTGCGAGTTGTGCGCTTAAATCCTTCATCAAAGCAACTTCAAAAGAGGCACAAAAAGAAGAAATTGGTTTGATTAAAAGAGTTCAAGGTAATGATAAAATAAGTAGAGAGAATAAGCATAAGACAGAGGAAAAAAACATGCAGCCCTCCGTTGAACAGAACTCATTATGGTTGTGTTCCGTTCTCGCCGCTGCACAGGGACCTGGGGACTAAAACCCGCGAGGGAGGCATATCAACTCGCCCGCAGATTAAATGTGCGTCTAATATAACTTACACGCAAACGTCAAAAGATTAAATGTTTTGCAGTTTTGAGCTACGGTACTGATTTCTCTAGAAAATTCGTGCTGTCTGTAACGATCTGATTAGAAATCGATGAAGACGGAAGTAAGGTGACAATACCTGGCCGGCGACGAGTCGATAAGCGATGGTGCCCACGTGGCACGAAGACTTTCATCTTTCATAGATCGAAGCAAGGTGGAGCCGTCAGAGAAGAACATGGCTGGCCCCTCGGGAGGTGCCTTCATTAGAGCTCAATCCGCTTCAATTGTCCTGACTCCGCCCATCTTGGAGCTGACGAATCAGCGCTGCCACCAACCGAGTGAATACCGTACCCAACGTCGCGAAAGGCGATCGATGACGCAATTACGAGAAGGCAACCCGGGCTCTAATCAACGCGAGCTACAAGTTGAAGCTATTCCCAAGATATTCCACATTTACGTCAACACTGGAACACTTGTTGAACTCAAGATCATTAGGATATCCTGTCTTAAGATTGTTGATTAGGAAGCGTTTTAATAGATAAGTTTATTTTCCTTTCATTGAATACCAGTTATAAAAAAAGTTGATAACCTAGGATTTAGTTTTAGACGCTTTTTATGGTAGATATTCAGCTATGTTGGATAATTTTTGAACGCTAGGTAGTGAACAAACATGCCTACGGAGCATCAAACGCAGAGCTACCAACCATAATAACTTTGAATCAGATTTGAAAGCTAACAACATAGCGTGGCGTGGTTATCATGGTTAAGTCGCCAGAATATGGCTGATGCATATCGCTGCTATGCTAATTTAGCATGCAGTTTGTCAGTGCGAGTGACTTGAAATATTCGGACAGCTGCGCACCCGATATGCTAATCGCGCACAACGATTCCGTCCACTATGCCGTTGAAGCATACAAGTTATAGACTTTGTTTGCAAACGAACGGCACTTACCTGATCACCTGACCAGTCATGTGACGCTGAACGAAATTCGATGATATTCTGCACGGTTTTCGAAATTTTTCATCTAACAATCACACAAACTACCCAAAGCGAACAGTACATTCCTATAATGACAATCGAAGAATGAATAATACCAATGAGAGAACGCGACGAAAACCCCAACTTGGGAAACGGAAAAGTGCGAAAGTGTTCGCAGTTTGTGATTATGCTTATCTTTTTTTAGTGAATATTTGTTGTACATGAGGAAAGCGAGAACAATTTACCGATAGGATATTTCCGGCCCGTCGTTTGACATCTTTTTGTTCCTAAAGCTAAAAAGTGAAAAGTGAATGAAATGAGCAAATATCACTTCAAGGATCCTATCTGTCGAACACAAATAGGCAGCCCGGATTCAAATAAAAAAAGGAAGGGGAAGGAAACGCTTTCTGGAAATGGAAATCGTGTACATTTTCTTATGTTCTAATCCGAAGTGTATTCACAGTGTGCTAACATCTAACGGTAGAAGTTATTGAGGAGGTGTTTTTTCGCGACAGTATTTAAACGGATAAATCGGTTCAAGTGGTTGTAGACAAATACTAGTTCATTCAATACTAAAAGTGCACCTTAGCCGGAACATTGGTGTCAACGGGTGGGTTCGTTTCTTCTCAGATTTTAGTTAGAACTTTTTCTGTTTGCAGCTTAGTTTTTCGAACTAAATGAAGCTAAAAAAGCATCCATTTAAGGAATCCAAATCATCAACGTTATGATGCGTCCTATTGGTTACTACTTTCATTGCAAGTTCCATGAAACCGTCTCGCTAGTCCATTTGGTTGGACGACTTATCTACCTCTACTTTGGCGAATGTATTTAGCTTGAAAGTAAATTGTATGGAATTTCATGGGCTTTTTCCATTTCATCATAGTGTTGTGTCTATTCGATTGCAATTTTAATTGTATTGCAAATGAGTACACTTCACACAATAAGAAATTGATTGCGATGTTTTAACTTCACCAATAAGCCAATGGAAACAAAATCGTCAAGTGCCGAGCAATAAAAAGGTTAGTAAAAACCTAGTATAACTCGGCAAGAAAACTGAACTTTGAATTGGAGTAATCGGGAGGGCGATTTTGTTAGGTACTGAAAGAAAGCATTCTGTCAACACTTTAAATAAAATTACTGTTTTCTACCTACTAATGAGGTACCGTATCACTCGTGCTAATCACTTTCAGTCTATCGAATGCCATGAAAAACAGTGCATTTGCTACATATATTTTCGTTGACTTCATGTTTTACTGCCATGGAAATACCCCTTCCTTGCGAGTTCACAGATATTTGCAGCGTTGTCATTATCAAATAGCACGGTGAATACACAAGTTAGACAAGTTATGTTTGAAGCTGTAACATTTAAAAAGGTCTCTTATTCGATAAACGTATTTCTATAACACTTTATCATGATTTGTCCATAGTCGGATTTCTAAGCACTTGAATGGGAGTAAAAGACATCTTCCTTTATAGCTGCATGTGCACGATAAAAATTCCAGAATATTTCTCCACATAATTTTGCATCATGTCCAACTAAAATCAAAAACTCTTCCTATGGTGTGTTTTACAGTTGTTTTCTTCTGCCTTTAGATTTTAGTTGTTTAGCTCTTATTTTTTCTCTACCCAGTGAATCCATCGAATACCAAGTCTGTGAAAAACGAGTGCCGCATTTTCAACTGCAACAGTGGAGCAGAGTGGTCAACCTCAAGCATAACGTTGTCAATAGAAATAAGTACCGTAGAAATCTTCAAATTCATATGAATAATTCTTTAATTGCGAAGGCGTAGAACTCAAGAGGTTCTGAAGAAACGAATTATTTAAAGCTATCACTTCAATGGATTTCTAACAACTGTTTGGTTGTCGTACTTTAATAACTAATAGCGGAGATGGCTGGAAAAGTGATGATTATCGAGACTTTCGAAGACTACGTTAGGTGTTGTTGTTGCCCAATTTTCAAAATTTCCGTGGTAAATAAAAAAGTATAAAGCTGCTGGCGCTGATCAATCCTTGAGGGATGCGCTATGCATTGGACATCATTAAGCGCCGTTGGAGGTGATTAAATACATATCTGGCCTTTACAATGACTCACGGTGGCCTACCGATGCATCGAGCCAGTTTTACTACCCTCCTAGACAAGTCTGGTACCAATTGCCCGATTCCGGAGGGAAGGAAGGCTTGGTGGGCCATGGCCGCGGAGATCGATTCCACGTGTACGTTGCAGGGCGCCTCCGACCACTACGCCGCACTCGCCCTACAGTGGTAGATATGCTGCGTATAGAAAATTTTTGTTAAACGCAAAAGGAAAAAACTTTTTTATATTATTTCTGGATACATTTACATTTATGCGGGATGTAATCGACTTCGTGGCAGCGTTTTTCCTTTGTGACCATCTTGAAACCGCAGGAGATGATGTATTGGCTCATTGACTTCTCCGAACATGAATAACGCATCATAACAACCCTCTGATGTTATTTAAGCATGAAAAATACCTAGGACCTTAATCTCAGTCCAATCACTAAGTTGAAAACCACCAGTTGCTGGAATGGATTGCGCTACCATTCCATTAAATCCATATAGTAGCTATTTATCGAGATCGCTCATTCAAATGTGTGGAGATTGATGAATTGTGGTTGTCCAGTTTTCCCACAAGTCCCTGAAGACTTTTTAAATGGGTAGTTCCGACTGTCAACTCTAAATGGTCCTTGCCAACGACTAATAGTGATGTGCAAGTTTCTTCTTCGCGAAGACTCACATCACCAGTACGAAGCCTCACGGAGTCCTGGATTGCTCTTGCGGAACGCATTTCGCGGCCTATGGATTGTCGATTTTGCCGCTTGCAACCAACGTTCCGTGCCCAAGTTTGAACTCGTGAAATAAAACGATGCGATTTTCATGATTTGATAGCACCACTTCGACAAAACTACAATGTGTTAGGAAAAAGATTTAGCACGGCACTTTGTTAAGAAGGAAAAGCGAACTTTAAAGCTATACACAGCAGCAACGTCGGCAACGAAATTTCACCATAGAATTCTTCTATAAAATTCATGTTAACAAATCCTTATTCATTTTGCTACCAAACTGATAAATTTTGTCGAGATTTTCTTATTCGATGAATTTCTTCGACTAAACAGTCTAAACCTTTGTGGTAAGCTGTAAGAAAGTTGGAGAATGAACCCTACTTTTTATATGCATCAATCATTACTTGATACTGCTTTTTTATTTACTGCCTACCAAAATTTTCCGGCAGAGTATTATAGGAAATTAACCACAAGGATCCTAAAATATTCTTAAAATTTAGACTCTGGGCCAGATCGAACCACGAGTTCTCCTACTAGGGTTCCCGCATTACACACTGGGCCACAGAGGCTCTTCATTTGTGCTTCTCTCAGATAGTTTTCTATCTACCAGTGCCAACAGCAATCACCCGTCAGTGGGATTAATATCGGTATTCTTAGCTGGGTTCAATGCCGATTTGGGCTCCCCAGATCAATCTCGTTGGCGGGTGATTGGTGATGACAGTGGTACATAGAACACTAGCAGAGAGAAATGCAGACCAAGGGCCTCCGTAGCGAATTGTGTAATGCGCGAGCACCGGAAAGGGAAATAGTTCTTCGATCTGGCTAGGGGTCCAAGTTTTGCGAATATGTTAGCATCGTGGTGGTTTATTACTTGACAATTTAACCACAAATTCAGAGAAATAAAGTTAGATTTTCATTACTTTTCACGTAATTAAATAGTTTTTCTTAAAAATTGATGATGTGATGTTCATAACTCCTCTAGTTCACCTTTCTCACCAGAGATACCTTCTTATTTCTCCTGTTTAAGCAAGCAAACAAACAACAACATTTTGATTTCCTCACTTGAAAAGAACGGATATAGTTCACTGAAAATGAAATATACTCCAAGGATGTTCGGAAATTAATGCTCCATTCGGAACTTCAATCTTCACGTGTAGGCATTATAGTTCCTCTTCAAACGCCTATTCTACAAGTGCAAAGTCTATTTTATGATGTCCCTTCGCAGTGTGCAGTTGAAGTTTTAGCAAAACTTGTGCTGCTGCTAAATTTGAAAATTTGAAAGGTTAGAATTTCAAGTGTCAAAAGAAAAAAATTGCAGTGTCAACTTCGGCAAATCTACTTCTACGAATTCAAACTCGAAGCTATATTACCAAAATGTTCGAAACAATGAGGTGTGAGGCCAAGGAAGGGTGAATAAAAGCACGATGCAGCATTTGATTTCAAACTTTCATTGTGGCAAATTCGTCTTTGATCACGGGCGTTTT